GACCAAACGTGCAAATTGCCCAAAACCATAGGGACCATTCGTGTAACTTACTCTAAATAAAAAGAAGCATGAACATTTACTACAATTTTAGAATTGCACTTATAAAATGTTCAAAGCAAATGATACCAAAATCAAACATACTATATGTTAGCGATTATGCAAAAAGTATATTTAAAAAAAAAAAATAGTGACAGTCGATTCCAAACCCATCTCAGGCCTGTAAGATGAAAATAGAACACTATTTTTTTTTTTATTTGTACGTATTTATCTTATAAAATCTTTTCGAAACACTAAACATTATAAAAAAGCTTAGCGAGAAGCTAGTAAAAAAATTACAAAGTAATATCCAAAGAGGGTTATGCAACCACAAAATCCAATTGACTTCTAGTTTATGGTTTCTACAAAGAACCGAGCAAAAGAAAAGAAAAAATATATAAATTAAAATAAAATAAAAAATAAATAAAATAAAATAAAAAATAAAAATTCAAACATATTAGACTTGCGAAACTTGTTGGAGCCAGCCACACACCGTACCATTACGGTACCTCCAACGGACTTCATATCGTCATCATACAAATAGCTTCCAAGACTGATTCATATTAGACATAGGCCGATTATCACCCCAAAAAATAAGTTTGAGGTCAATCGAAACTGAGGAATAAGTAAGTTCACCCATCGACCTAGTTTGCACCTCAACATCACACGACAAAAACAAATGAGGCTTATCTTCAATCTCAGCATCACAAGAAGGGCATATAAAACAATCCAAGTCAATACTCCTATTAGTCAAATTACTTCTAGTAGGGATCCGATTTTGTAAAACCCTCCAAGTCAAAATGATTCTTTTTTTGTTTTTCGAGACGTAAGTATTCCATCTTGTCTTTTGCATACTAGGGCCCAACATAAGATCATCAATATGAAATCAAGTATAGCTAATTAAAAAAAATATCTCTTAGTATCTAAGTTCAACACCATTTGATCTAAAGCTACCACCCGACCCATGCAAAGCTTTTATCACTTTTAGTCCCTTAACTTTCAGAAGATATGAAAGAGAAAGATACAAGAGCGATTTAGGGTTTTCTCTAAACGAGAAGATAAGTGATAAGAAAAAACTAATCAACGTTATGTATTTATACTCCAAAAAGTCCGCGTCTAGCCCTAAGAGAAAGCAATCAACCATCCGGCTAGTGATGGCAAAAAAACCCCATCCCCGATGGGAAACCCGAAACCCGCACCCGTTTTAACTTGGGAATCCCCAAGTTGACAGGGGATGAGGATTCCCCGAATAAAAAAGTGGGGATGGGGATACCCCTAATCCCCAACCCTAGATCCGCCCCCGATATATATTAATATATAAAACATATATTTATAGTACAATTTATAATATATAAAACTTGATCCAAGTAACCTAACTCATTAGCAATTACTTGGTTGAAATAAATTTTTTTTCTATTATCTAATTTAAACTTATGTATAATTTTTTTTCTATCCGTTTTATCTATTTTACTTTAAATGTCAATCTGATAATATTTTTATACTTTATTTTTCATGTATTTATTTAAATTTGGTAGAAAATTTGTTTATATTTTTATGCAATCAATGGATACTTTTATATTTTGTAAAATATTTAAACTTATGCTGGTAAAATTAAAATTTAAAGTTTTTCTTTACGTAAAAGTTTTCATATTAAAAGAGGAAAAGAAATCCCCGATTCCCCGTTGGGGATCCCCAGTCCCGTTGGGGGTGGGGATAGGGTTTTTTTATATTCCCCGATGGGGATGGGGATGGAGATTGCAATGAGAATACGGGGATGGGGATGGGGATTGGGTCCCCTGTATTCCCCGCCCCCGTTGCCATCTCTACATCCGGCTCCCTCTTACACCATTCATCCAACTTTAGCTCTTCACATTCCATAATTTCCACTTTAGTCCCTTCACTTTATAATAGTATTCAAATTTGCACCAAACTGAAACAGGTTACCAATCATAGCTATGTAGTTATAATTTATTTTATATACATTTGCAACCTATTGGTTTTCTACAACCAGGTTACCAATCAGTAATTTTCCAAGTACCATTTCTATTTAACGCTTCAATTTCGTCATTCATTGCGCTTATCCGATTTTCATCATTTTTAACATCCTAAAAACATGGTTCAACAAATTTATTCAATTTTGAAACAAAACAAAACATTTCATGTTTTAAAGATGCATATCCAATAACTTTTTCAATCCCAAACTTGTGTTTTCCCATAATTATGTAATCACTCAGTTTCGCTAATAGTTTTCTCTTACGAATAAACCTCCTAGGGCCTGTATCGTGGGACATACTAATAATATCACAACTCAAAGGAAATGTTTTTTCAACACTACTAGAAAACATGGGGTTTTCCTACAGAAAATAGCTACGGAAAATTTTCGTAGCTAATTAGCTACAGGATGGCTACGGATCAGCTACAGAATGGGACGCCCTAATTTAGCAACGTAATAGCTATGGAATAGCTACAGAATAGCTACGGATGTTAGTCTGTAGCTATTTCGTAGCTCATTAGCTACGTAATGGCTACGGAATAGCTACAGATACAAATCCGTAGCTATTCTGTAGCTAATTAGCTACGGAATAGTTATAGCTTAACGACGGAAGAAAATAGCTACAGAATAGCTACGAAATAGCGACTGATTTATAATTTCCATATTATTATTATTATTCCCATTATTATTATTTTTCATTAGTCAACTCTTAAATTTTTTTTTGGATCATTTTTTCTTACATATTTAAGACACGAACAATTAAAAATCATACTAATAATACTATTAATAATAATATTTCTAAACATCATAATAATATATAATAACTGTAACAAACGTGTTTAACACACAAACAAACGATTAAACGAAAAAAAACTACATTTAACACATCAATAAGATGAAATAATTTATGTTTAATTTATAAATAATGAGAAATGATTATAATAAAGGGAAATATGTATGTATGTATGTGTATATGTATTTATGAATTTATGTATGTATGTATGTATGTATGTGTATGTATGTGTATGTGTATTTATGAATTTATGTATGTATGTATGTATGTATGTATGTATATATATGTGTATGTATGTGAATGTGGGTGTGTATGTAAATGTATGTGTGTATGTGTATGTGTGTATGTATATGTATGTGTATGTGTGTATTTGAATGTGTATGTGTATGTGTATGCATGTGTGTGTATTTGAATGTGTATGTAAGTACGGATTTTTCTTATTTTCGATTTTTCTAACGGAAAGCACATTCCGTAGCTAATTAGCTACGGACTAGCTATGGAATGGAATGTATCAAACTTGGTATTAGGGACGTTTTTTGGTGTATTTTATATGGACGCTTTTTAAAGGATTACGTGATACGATTAGATCGAATAAGCCTTTCTGGAATAAATACTCGGCCGCTTGTGAACCCTCGGGTGTATTTGGGACAAATGTGAATTGAATGTGGTATTTGACAAAAAATTGAAAATTTTTAAATTTAAATTTTTTTTTTTTAAATAAAACGAAGTTAGCTACGGAATAGCTACGGATTTCAATAGCTATTTAGCTCCGTAGCTGTTCCGTAGCTATTTAGTTCCGTAGCTATTCCGTAGCTATCTAGTTCCGTAACTATTCCATAGGAAATCCGTAGCTATTTATTTCCGTAGCTATTCCGTAGCTATAGTAGCTACGGAAAATTCCGTAGCTATTCCGTAACGATTGTATAGCTAATCCGTAGCTATAATTTAGCCACGGGCCATTATGCTACAGCCAATTTTCCATAGCAATTCCGTAGCTATCCGCTTATAGCTACGGATTGTGCTGTAGCTATTGCACCAATTTTCTAGTGCAATGTATTGGATTCCCTCGCTTACTTAAGAATGTATAAGATCATGTCCTTCCATCACCTTAGGGACAATGGTTGTCCACAACATAGCTTCTTTGATCACCATGGGTGATACTTTTTTTTTCTGAATATTGAGTCATAAATTTCTCTCGAGTCAATATCATTCTTTTTGATAATTTTCGAATATCAATATCTTCCTTTATTCTTGTAGCAGTTGACGTCAATAGGATATTATTATGAATAAATTCATAAATTATGGTAATTAACATTTATTACCTAATGTTTATAAAATATGCTCCTTTTAGTCTTTTACATAGTTTTCAAGTCTCTTTAAGACACGTATCAAAAGATATGGTTTTTGCTTTATTTATCTGCATTACTTATATTGGAAGATGAATCATTCCCATCGACTCATTTCAACTTTTAAATACTTGTTAAAAGCTTTTTGCGATAGTGCTTTCCTCCGATAAAGTGATCCTTCATCGTCTACTAAAGCGATAACATATTAGTTGTACAGAAACGCACCAAGAACCTTTTTGGCTTTTCCATGAATTATCAGACAGGAAACAATAAGAAATACAACCACGTCTACATATAAGTACGTATTCTGTACATTTACACTGCGTTTGTTATATATAAATAAATTATAATACTATTTTTAACGAGGATGACAGACATTTTAAAAAAATTTGTCTCATTGATATCAATATCAGTTGTTTTCAATCAAATACAGTATATGGTATATGGCATGGCCATCATGGTTGTCATCTTGGACAACAAACGAGTTCTTAGCTACTCATCTTAAATCATAAATTCATAATAAGCGACTCCTTATATTTCCATAGTATCTATGTTGCTTTCGACAAGTTTAATAATTTGATCGAACAATTAACATCGTATTAAATACCGGCAGCCACTACCGGTACCCACTAATAACAAATAAGATTCCTTTCCAGAGACTTTTAACAAATAGCAACAGCAAACTCACTGATTACGAGTCAAATCACTTCTCGTAGGTCCCATCACTTCAAATCCTAGATAGCAACAACGTACCCATGCATACCCCATATATATAGTAGCCAACACCACTTAAATTCCATCATTCCCCACTTACCCTCATAAGTCATACCAAATGAACCCCAGGGTGATTCTCCTGATGGCGGTAACAGTGGCGGTTTGCCACCGCTACACGGCGGCAAACACCAACCAGGAACGGAAAACATACATCGTTCACATGGACAAAATGGTGATGCCGCCGGAATATTCCGACCACCGGAACTGGTACGCAACATCTATGGAATCGGTTTCCGAGTTGCCGGAAATGTTGTATACGTATGAAAACGTCATCCACGGGTTCTCCACCCGGCTCACGGTTGAACAAGCGAAATTACTTGAGAAAAAACACGGTGTTTTATCGGTTAAAGAAGAGCTTATATACAAGCTTCACACCACCCGGTCGCCGGAGTTTCTTGGACTTGCAGGGAGAGAGACGATGTTTTCCGGGCTGGGCTCCGGCGGTGATGTGATGATTGGGGTGGTGGACACCGGTGTCTGGCCCGGAAGTAAAAGCTTAGACGACACTGGGTTCGGCCCGATTCCGGCGTGGTGGAAAGGCGAGTGTAAGAATGGTACGGGCTTTGGTGCATCAAACTGTAATAAGAAACTGATTGGGGCAACGTTCTTTTCGATGGCATATGAAGCCACATATGGGCCGATTGATGAAACAATAGAATCGCGGTCTGCGATGGATGATGATGGACACGGGACCCACACTGCGACTACAGCCGCTGGTTCGACGGTGACCGGAGCAAGTCTTTTTGGGTTCGCGAAAGGGACGGCTCGTGGGATGGCTCCGAATGCCAGGCTGGCGGTTTATAAAGCGTGTTGGCTCGGTGGTTGTTTCGGGAGCGATATACTGGCGGCAATAGAAAAGGCGATCGCGGATCGTGTCCATGTTTTATCACTTTCGATTGGCGGCTCGCTTGCTGATTACACCAATGACGTGGTGGCTTATGGCGCGTTCAAGGCGGTTTCCCGTGGGATATTTGTAGCATGTTCCGCCGGAAACAGCGGGCCCGGCCCGTTTGGTTTATCGAATGTCGCGCCATGGATAGCTACGGTTGGTGCTGGAACCCTCGACCGTGAATTTCCGGCGTATGTTGTTCTTGGAAACGGGAAGAAATTCCGGGGAGTATCGCTTTATAGTGGAAAACCGTTACCGGAATCCGTGGTTCCGATTGTTTACGCCGGAAATATCAGTAACACCACCGGGAACTTATGTCTCCCGGGTACGTTGCCACGGGGAAGAGCCATCGGAAAAATTGTGATGTGTGAACGTGGCGGGAATTCACGGGTGCAGAAGGGGATGGTGGTGAAGGCAGCCGGTGGTCTTGGAATGATTCTGGCGAACTCCGATACGTTTGGGGAGGACCTGGTGGCTGACGCCCATTTGATCCCAACCGCCGCCATCGGTTACCGAGGTGGTGAGGCAATAAAAAGCTATATACTTTCAAATGATAATCCAACGGCTACAATTGCATCCGGAGTAACTGAATTACACATCCAACCGTCACCCGTAGTTGCAGCTTTCAGTTCCCGGGGCCCGAACCCGCTCACCCCTGAAATCCTGAAACCGGATTTCATCGCACCAGGGGTGAATATTCTAGCCGGTTGGACCGGTAAAACCGGTCCAACCGGCTTAACAGAAGACACGCGACGTGTCGAATACAACATCGTGTCCGGGACATCGATGTCGTGTCCCCACGTAAGCGGGTTAGCCGCTTTACTGAAAACGGCTCACCCAGCGTGGACACCAGCAGAAATAAAATCAGCACTTATGACCACAGCTTATAGCGCATACAAAAACGGTGAAGGGCTGAAGGATATTGCAACCGGAAACCCATCGACCCTATTTGACCATGGTTCGGGCCATGTCGACCCGGTTCGAGCCATGGACCCTGGTCTGGTCTATGACGCCTCACCTAACGACTATTTGGGCTTTCTTTGCGCTTTGAATTATAGTTCAAATGCCATTAAAATGTTTGGAGGTGGAAGTTTCACATGTAGAAAGAAATACAGGGTGGAAGATCTTAACTACCCGTCTTTTGCAGTTCCTTTGCTGACGGATTCCGGCGAAGGTGGTGGTGTCGGGGGTGGTCCGACCACCGTTAAGTACACCAGGACTCTGAAAAATGTGGGGACTCCGGCGACTTATAAGGTTTCGGTATGGTCAAAGGTGGCGGCAGTCAAGATTACGGTTGACCCAGAAGAGCTAATTTTCACGAAGCAAGGTGAGAAAAAGGTGTATACTGTGACATTTACAGCTAGTTCCATGCAATCGGGGACTACTGGATCTGGTCAGCTAAAGTGGTCTGGAGGAAAATATGTTGTGAGTAGTCCTATAGCTTTCAGTTGGGTATGATTACTGTAAAGAAATATAAGAATGTTGTTATTAACTTATTATGCATAAGAAAATGATAGGTACATTGGTATTATGTTTAAAGAAATTTAATTACGGGTAAAAAAAGAAATTACATTTTACAACATTGTAAGGAAGACGTATAAAGTTTGCTCATTATCATTCATTGCATATATTTGTAACGTTTTCTTTATACAAAAGTAAAAAGGGATCAAGATTCATGAGGCAGAGCTATTAGTGAGCTGCGGTGTTTAGCTTCTTTTTAACTTAATCGACTTGATGAGAAGTATATATGTTTGTAAAAGGGAGGCTTTGGCAGTTCATTTCTACTTTTTTTACATTTTTTATTCCATTTCCCTAAAGTTTCTCAAAACATCATTTATCCGGTACTTACTAGAAATCAACAAATATAGACACACAAACACATCCAGATAGAAATTAGAAGAAAAAGATGATAAAAAAAGACACATTTAAGTTCATCTGGTTTATGCACATGGGATAAGGACATATGTACACACAAGTGTCGAAACAACAGAGTGTTAAAGGTGAAACAACATAAGTTTCTAATAATGAGTGAAGCTAGTGTGACTAGAGGCATGTTCATGGATGGAGTTGGTGAAATTAGGTTAAGGTGGGGTTTAATATGGTCAATGTCCTTTTTTCTTATCTTTATTAGTAACATTAAATTGTGAGCGCATTGTTATTATGGGTAAACAAATGTATGTATTTTGCTATATTTTACAAGTTTTAAGTTTCATATTTTTTATAGAGAAAATTTTGTAAGTACTTTGCTATTTTGGGTAGATAAGCATATGCAGTTACCCAACACTTAATTTATGAGTGAGCGCCTCCATATAATACCATAACCCATATAAAAGCATCTCCAATCATCAACCTTGTGCATATTTTTTTGCTTTGACACATCATCTTTTCACTAATTTTATCAAGAAAAATGATATTGATTTAAACTTTCTCCAATCATTGATCACTTTTAAAAGTTTTTTTTTTAAATTAACTAATTTACCCCATCCTTGTGAAATATTTTACAATACACAAAATTAAAATAAATACAATTAAATCCAGAGTTGATATTTCGCTTTTATCTTGTGACAATACATTACGTATATAATTAGAAAAACAAAAAACAATAAAAATATTATGTAACCATTACGAATTTAATATTCAATATTGGAGATCAAAGTGAAAAAACAAATAAATCAAAAATAATAAAGCTTTAAAGGGTAGATATAATAAGAGGAGTAAAATAGAATATTATTGAACAAAAAGGACTACTTGTACAAAACAGGAAACGTTATTTTATTTTTGCCGACATGTTCATGAATTTAATTATTTAAAAATATGAAAAATGAAGATCATGATCAGAATGAAAAAGATGAGTAAATGAAGACAAGTAATCAGCTATAATAAATAATTTTAAGAGAAACTATTTGATAATTAAAAAAAATTACACTTCAACTGTAAAAACTAATTAAAAATGAATTAAAAATATCGTCTCATTAAAATCCATTTTCTCATATTTAAAGCCATGACTGTGTTTTTCAAACCATATATATACACCTAAATGTAAGCTTTGAAAGTACAATAAACAATCTGAGTACAAGTGTTCCATGTGAATGCCACATTAAGCCGAACCTATGTCACATCAATAACAATTGGTTTCCTAATATGGCCCAAAAATATGTATTTTCCAAACTATAGACCATTTTTTATACGTTTTAAAAGCATGATCCTAAAATATTAACTCATATAAAGTATGTTTCATTCTATGCTATTTTCCCAAAAGCTAATAAGCATACAAATTATCGACAATTTTGTTTCTAAAAGTACTATTCTAGACATCTAACTAGAAACATAGGTTTTATGATTGGGTAAATAATTAAGTGCAAAGATAAAAGTTTTAACATACGTGAGACCCACTTGTATACAGTAGGTAACTAGTATGAATATCCATTCCTTTTATCACTTTATAGTTAGCTTAGCTAGTTTTAATTTTACAAAATACTTGAAAAATATCATATGTATAGCTAGTTCATAATCTAAAAACGAGATAGTGTTTAATCATTTTTAGCCTCTAGATTCAAAGTTTATGTTGTACATTAATAAATTTAGAGAAGTAAAACGTGTTTTCATTATTTTCAATCAATTTACACAGGAGAGTATATAACCAAGATCTGAACTCTAAACTGAAATCCTAGAATTCAGTAAACATTTAAAGATGATAACTATTGGATAAATAAAGATAACTATAGGCTAGATAAAGATAATAACTATCCTTAATCGTAATACTCCCTCTCAAGTTGGAGTGTGTAAGTCATGAACACCCAACTTGTCACGTAGAAATTTGAATCGATCTGCACCAAGAACCTTAGTGAAAATATCGGCAACCTGAAAATTAGAACGTATAGAAAAAGTTTTGATCTCTCCACTGTTTACCCTTTCTCGCACAAAATAACAGTCCATCTCAACGTGTTTTGTTCGTTCGTGATAAACTGGATTAGTTGCAATGTGTCTAGCTGCTTCATTGTCACACATAAGAGGAGTTGAGCCACTTTGCACAACATCCAAATCTTGAAGAAGCCACCTGAGCCACAAAATTTCACATATAGTACTTGCCATCGACCTATATTCTGCTTCCGCTGAAGATCTAGACACTACTGTTTGCTTTTTCGTCCTCTAGGAAACTGGTGATCCTCCAAGAATAATGAAATATCCCGTGCATGACCTTCTAGTGGTTAGACAGCTTAACCAACTAGCATCACAATAGGCCACAAGATCTAAAGAACCTGCTGAAGGAAGATATAAACCTTGACCTGGTGTACCTTTCAAATACCGAAGAACTCTGTGAGCAGCATCCATATGTGATTTTCTAGGATTGCTCAAGAATTGACTTAGTTGGTTCACTGCAAATGTTATATCAGGTCGAGTAACTGTGAGGTAAAGTAGACGTCCCACCAATCTTCTATAACGTGAAGCATCAACTTTTGGGCTTTCATCATCTTTTCTTAGCTTAACATTCTGTTCCATTGGAAAATTGCTAGGCTTGCTTGCAGAAACACCACAATCTTCTAGAATGTCAAGAGTGTATTTTCTTTGACTTATTACGAAACCTTCCTTTGACCGAGCAACTTCAATACCAAGAAAATATTTGAGAGGACCCAAATCTTTAATGCTAAACCTGTTCTGGAAATGATTTTTCACTTCATTGATTTTATTGATGTCATTTCCCATTAACAGTACATCATCAACATATATGAGAGCAACAATATGAACAGATCACATCCTAAATATGAACATAGAATGGTCTGCCTTACTTTGTAGAAAGCCTATCTCCATAAGAGCTTTTGTAAACTTTTGGTACCAATTCCTTGAAGCTTGACGTAGACCATAGATAGACTTGTGTAATTTACATACCCGATTTTCAACATTTTCACGAAAACCTTGAGGCACCTTCATGTAAACGTCTTCTTCTAGATCACCATGCAAGAAGGCGTTATTTACGTCCATCTGGTGTACTTCTCATTCTTTCTTTGCAGCAACAACCAAGGCACATCTAACAGTCACAAGCTTAGCTACTGGGGCAAAAGTTTCATGAAAATCAATACCTTCTATTTGAGTGTAACCTTTTGCTACCAACCGAGCTTTGAACCTTTCTATTTCTCCATTTGGTTTATATTTAATCTTATAAACCCATTTTGAGTCAATGGCTTTCTTTCCCTTTGGAAGTTCCATTAAGGACCAAGTGTCATTTTCTTCAAGCGCGGTAATCTCTCTTTTCATTGCCTCTATCCATCTTGGATCTTTCATGGCTTGGGAGAAATCTCTTGGTTCATTGTTTGAAGTTATTGCTGCTAAGAACGCTCGATGTGCTTTTGAAAATTTATCATAAGAAACAAATTGAGAGAGAGGATATGTTGGGTAATCTTGATGGGTTAAGTTGTTCATGGGTACGGATTCGAATGGGTCGCTCCAGTTTCCTTATCCACAAGTTGAATAATCAGGACTTGGTCTAATGAAAGACCTGGTTTGGTGGAGCTTCAATAAACGTGGACTTAGTAGTCCTATGTTTGTGGTTTTAGCTGATAGTTCTCCTTTTTCATAGCATGTTTATTATTATAAATAGAGTAGGGTTTATCTTCTAGGGTGTAGGACGTGTATGTATGTATTTTCTGTTTTCATGAATGAGTAATACACAGAAAATTGTGCTATCTTCAGATTGCATATTGCTTCTTTTACTTTGAGTATTAGTGCATGTTTGATCTTGTGTAGAGAATGTTCCAACAATTGGTATCAGAGCACCCAGGTTCACACCTGGTTCTCAGCAAGAAGGAGAGGATGAAAGCAAGAAGTTTGGTGATAGGAGGATCAATTGATCTGTAGCAAGAAAGTAAGCAGTAAGCATGAAGAAAGGCTGCACAGCAGCAAATTAGAAAGAAAGAAAGAAAGAAAGAAAGAAAGAAAGAAGAAAGAAAGAAAGAAAGAAAGAAAAGAAAGAAGAAAGAAAGAAAGAAGAAAGAAGAAAGGAGAAAGAAGAAAGATAGAAAGATAGAAGAAAAAAAAGAAAGAAAGAAAGAAGAAGAAAGATAGAAAGAAAGAAAGAAAGAAGAAAGAAGAAAGAATGAAAGCAAGCAAGAAGTCCGATCATGTTTGTTAATCAGAAGAAAGATGCAGGAGCAGTTTTTTTGTTGTTTGTTAGCAGGTAAGAAAGAAGAAGCAAGCAGCAAGTGATTAACAAGCAGGAGAGGGCCGGTTGCAAGCAAGATAGCAAGCATGTAGCCTGTAGCACGTAGCAGACAAGAAAGAAAGCAAGAAAGAAAGCAAGCAGTAAGGGTGATCAAAAGAAAGAATGAAAGCAACTAAGCAAGTAGCAGGTTGGTTACTCCTGTTGATCAGAAGAAAGTAGCAGGAGTAGAAGGGTGTTGTATGTTAGCAAGAAAGAAAGAAGAAGCATGCAACAAGAGCAAGAACCGACTTTGTTGTGGTGA